GGCCGGTGCGGTGGCACGCTCGCAGCCACCACAGCCTCAACCTGCGGGACCCAGGCAGTCGTCCGGCCTCTGGGGAGTGCTGAGCCCACCCCCGGCAACTAGTGCCCCGTGTCTGGCTGTTTCCAAGCTCTTCCCTTCTTTCCCCCCCACGTCTTCCCCAGCCTGCCCCCGAGTAGCTGCATTCTCCAACTCTCCCCCACCCTGCCCAGCCCCGTCCAGGTCTGGCGAATCTCCTGCACTGGACTTTGTCCTCGGCGCGGTCACGTCCTCCATCTGTGGAGCTGACCTCTGCTGCTGACTCTCCCAGACAGTGCTCGTTTCCCCTTGACCTACTTGGAAGGGGAGTTCCAGAGAATTACCGAGGCATTTGTTTCTCCCAGAGCGTGATCACCGGATCTTCTGAGGTTCCTGCTGTCCTGCACTGTGGTAGGATTCCGCTGACAGAGGCAGCTGGGAATGCATGGCCTCCCGGCCTCACCCAGGATGGGGACGTCTGCCCGCTGCCCAGCTCACCCATGCCACCTCTCTGGCCTGGGATGCTCCTTCCTTGGTCACTTGGTACCGTCAGATGCGAATTCCAGCACGAAAGAGAAACAGTGAAGCTGCACCCATGGCTCTGTGGGGATGCCAGGCCGACAGCCGGGCCAAGGTTGGTGGCGACCGGCCTCCCCACCCCACGTAAGTCGCAGCGACCACACGCAGCACGTGGGACAAAAAACATCTCCAGGAAGCAGGAAGTCTCTTCATGAGCTCGGAGCAAAACTGCTTCTTTTTCTCCCTGTTTTGAAAATGTGATACTCTACTTTGCTTCAAACACCTGTTGGCCTTCCGAGAGAAAAGACACCTTCACACGAGGGGTCCGGGGAGGCTGTCCCAGGGAAGGGTTGGGCCGGGGCGGGCACAAGGGGCACTCTGGCCACGTGGTCGCCACCCGGCTGTGCCCATGTCACAAAAACCCACAGTGCCCCACACTGGCTCCTCCTGCTCTCTCCTGCGTGATGTGACACTTGGGAGGCTGAGCTCGGAGGGCTGCCTGGGCCCTGTGGTTCGAGACCCGCCTGGGCACCTTGGCGAGACCTCGTCTCTACAATAAATTTTAAAAATTAGCCAGGCATGGCGGCGCACATCTGTAGTTCCAGCTAGTCGGAAGGCTGAGGCGGAAGGATCGCCGGAGCCCCAGCAGATTGAGGCTGCGGTGGCCGGGAGCAGGTCGCTGCACTCCAGCCTGGGCGACGGAGGGAGACTCCAACTCAAACAAATGAACCAACGAAAAAACCATGAATAGGGAAGGAGTCTTGGCATCCCAGTGATGCTAGAAAGTAACAGAATGTTGCCGACTGTGCTTGAGGCCGGAAGGCACGGCCCCTCCCTCACAGGGCCCGTCCACCTTCCTGAAAGTTCTGGTTTGCTTTAAAACGACTGGGTTTAATTAAAAATAATCGGAACACTTCCCAAGCCAGCCGATGCCCCTCATCCACGGCTGAGAACGTTGGCAGAGCATGCTGTCACGATCAGAAAACCCAGCCAACCCAGAGCCATGTTCAGCCTCACCCTGGGGCTCCGCTCCCACAGGGTCCCAGCACCACGGGGAGACCATCCAGGGCTGACTGGTTGGTTCTGTTCCTTTTACAAACTAGAGGTGTGTACAGTTTATAACTCAGGACTTCTTTAGGTTTGCTTGGTTTTATTTTGCGTGCAGACAGGGTCTGTCTATGTTGCCCGGGCTGGTCTCGAACTCTGGGGCTCGAGAAACCCGCCAGCCTCAGCCTCCCAAAGTGCTGTGATTACAGGTGTTGGCCACTGCACCTGACCCCATAACTCAGTATTTCTCGTCAATAACACTACCTTACGAATAAGTTTCTTTTTTACATTCCAGAAACATTTTGAATTGACTTCTTGCACATCTCCAAGTTCAGGGAGTGTTCGTTTTAAAGTTCATTTCAAAATGGAAAGAGTTTCGGTTCATTTTTTAAATGTTTACAATGGAGGACAACTTAGCTAGCATTTCTAGGTGCTCAGGACACCCACAAACACAGCACGGGGACCACTGGTGGCTTCGGGGCCCTGGGGATTCTCTCTCAACTGTGGGCCCTGGGGATTCTCTCTCAACCCAGGAGAGCAGCCAGCCTCCCCTGGGAGCCGGCAGGGCACTGCCTCTGTCCTGCCCATGTGTGGCGGAAACAGGCCCGCGGGTGGCCTGGATGCTCCTTTCTCAGCTGCTCCCCCCTTCCTCAGCTCTCCACAGCAAATACAGAGGAAGTCCTGGCATCCTAGTGATGCTACAAAGTAACAGAGTGTTGCAGGCTGTGCTTGAGGCCAGAAGGCGTGGCCCCTCCCTCTCAGGGGCCGTCCACCTTCCTGACAGCGAGGAGATGTGCCATTGGCTTTAAACAACGGGGTTAGCTGGGCTCGGTAGCTGGGCTCGGTGGCTCAGCCTGTAATCCCACGCCTTTGGAAGGTTTAGGTGAGTGGATTGCCTGAGTCTGCGGGTTCGAGACCCGCCTGGGCAACTTGGCAAGACCTCATCTCTATAATAAATCAAA